ACGCAAGCGATTCTATGGGCCTACGACTTCCCCACCAACGCGTACCGATTGGGTGACACTCGCTTGTTCTTCCGTACTGGCAAGATCGATCTGCTGGATAAACTTCTCACCCCGGCGCCGTCTACCACTGAAAACTTGGGACAACAGTTGCTGCTTTATTTACGCAAGAAACACTGGATCAGTGTCACCACTGCCATCATCACGTTCAACGCGTTTAAGCGAATTTTCCAGGATGTTCGCTACCGACGTCGCGCGACGGTGATCCAGTGTATGGTGCGTCAGCATCTGGCAAGGAAACGAGTGCGTAAGCTTCGCGTGCAGCTTCGGATGCACAAGCTCTGGACGCGGATGTCGCACCAAGCGCAGATCATGCACGCGTACCAGGACCGTCCGGAGGATAAGATGGTGTTGCTGGACAAGTTACTGGCCAAGAACTATCTTCCTGTTAAGCAGCGCTGGCTGCTCAAGTGGCTGGGACCTCTGCAACGTGTGATTTACTTGCAGAAGCGATGGAAGAAGATCACAGCGCAGTATATGGCCAAACGAGGTTTCTTGTGGTTGTTCGAGACTGTCCGTCGCAAGCGTAGCGCTCTACGAGTGCAGTCTCATGTCCGTGCGATGATCGCGAGGACGCGCTTCCTGGAGCTCAAGAAGAAGGCGCTCGCTCGTCATCGCTGGCACGCGGCGTACCTGAAGGTGAAGGTCTTTGGTCTGTTTAACCGACAGCTACGTCTGATCCATGTGGACCGGTTAGAGAAGGACAATTCGACGTTGATGAACAGTATGGCTGCTGTAACGGAGAAGCTGGGTGAAGCACAGGAAGAAGCCAAGACGGCTAAGCTGCAGCTTAAGCAACTGCAAGTTTCGTTCGACGAAGTGAAGATCGAAGCCAAGCAGCAACAACAGCGTGTCGAGGAACTGGAGCTGGCACTGCAAGCCAGAAGATTCGAGGTCGCGGAGCTACGCAGACAGACAGGAGGAAGCCTCGTGGAGCGCATCATCCGCTTCTTTACGTGCAGTGCTGCCATCTCGCCGCCGTCTTCGCCTCGTGGCATGGTGACGCCTTCTCGTCTGCCTTCATTGAAACGACAGACGCAGTCGGCGTCGGAGGAGACTTCAGACAAAGGCGAACGGATCGTGTGGGCCACGCCGTTGAGTGAAGCTGTCATGATCCCGCAGGACGAAGACAGCAACACTACCAAGCGCCGTCTCAGCGTCACGGCAGTGAGCGAGGAGCCAGCGTTCGACGCGGAAGAAGAAGAATTCCGCTCCAAGGACGCAGATATGCTGTGGTCTGTGTCCCGATACATGTTCTAAAGAGTCAAGTGGAGAGTTGCTCGCGACGAGAAGCAAGGCGCCTCTCATTCGACGTTAACGTCGACTTATATTATTCGCGTAGCGCACGCGCAGTCGCTGTATGAGCAGCAAATACTTATGTAAACTAAGGTTTTTGTGTTTTGCCAGGGTTTTCTCGATAGGTCTAGCGAACATTTTTGCAGTAGGAGTCGTCGGAAGCACCTTTTTGCAACCTTAATTTGATGCAGTTTGTGTCCTTACGCCTTTGTGTTGTTGCCTACAACGTAGCGTATACAGCTTGTTCGATCAGCATCCGAGCAGTGTCGTTCTTTGGTTGCACATCCAGCAACTGGACGGCAGCGCGGTGTACTAAACTCCATCGCTGGAGTCTTGTAGCGCAAGTTCCGAGACCGACAAGAGCCTCGAAAAGATGTGGCTTCAACTTGATTGCCGTCTCGTAGTGACCGAGTGCCTTGCCAAAGTTGCCTAAACAGCGAAATAAAAAAATGAAATTTTCAGTGCAAATAATCAACGGCAATACCAGTTTTGGCCGACGCACCGCTTTGGTATTCCACCATGGCGAGCTTGTTCCAGGCGTAGGCAAATACCGGGAAATCTTGTACTACTTGTTCAAGCATTTCGCGAGCTTCGTCCCATTTCTTCTGACTTGCAAACTCCACCGCACGCTGCACTTCGTTTTGCGCACTGTGTCCACATTCTCCGAGCCACATTCCCTCCAGACTGGCCATGGCAAACTGGACGATGGTGCTATCGTCACACCGTAAGTACGTCAGCAAATTTTCTTCGTCGGCAGATTGGAGTTGAATGATCGACGGGGTAGCAACAACGGCATTGGCGTCTCTAGGCTTCCTTGTGACGTCACTCGGATATCGAGCTGCCAAAGCGTCGGACGGGATGTGGTGGGTACCGTCGAAGCCGTCGAAGTATAGCAAGAGTGCTGGATGTACAACCGCCTGGAAACCAAAAATACGTTTAGTGAAATCTTGCATTCACAAAACCTTTACTTTTTGAGAATAGTTTACCTTTGGTGCCTCGTCAAGCCGGATTTCACCTTGCGGCACATTGTACAGTTTGCTAGCAAAGCTGAAGCCGGGACTGTGGGGTAAAATGTCGTACACGACCCGAGGTCCTTCAACCTCATCCGTGGTCACGTGCCAGGCAAAAACCACGCCTCGCTTTTCACCTTTCACTTCAACCACATCTCCAACCAGAAACTCAATCGCATTCGTGCGTTCCTTGCAATTTCATCACCAGGTTAGCACTTCGCCAATATTTTTTTTTTCAAATGCAACAGTCTTCCCACCTTGGGTCCGAAAATCCCTTGATCCTTGAACTCGTGGATCAGAGCATTGTGGTCGTCCACACGCTTCAGCGCGTCGAAGGCGGCGTCGATACGAGCGTCCAACGCTGTTTTGTCCTCTACCGGCGGCGTGAACCCTGCGCGCACAATGCGCGCAAATGTTCTGTCTCCCCTGCCCCGTCGCTTAAGAACCTCCATATCCTCCAATCGTCGTACGAACATGCGCTCGCGCTGCCAATCGGTCTTGACGCCGGCATACGAGGCAACGGCACCCGAGCGGACAGCGTCATACAGCGTCCTGCCAGCCTCTACGTCGCGCTGCAGCGTCTGCGTGGACCGCAGTAACGCCCTTCACCCACGTCGTTAGATTATTAATTTTGAAAGCCCCTCTGCCACAAACGAAAAATATTGCCACACCGATAAAGAGCGATCACAACCGGAGACGCCATTTTCGCACTGCACAATGCAAAAGCTCACTTGGCAACAAAACAATCGATATCCAATCATAGCGCGTCATTTTAGCACTACTACATATTATTGGACAAAACTAATTTGCAACAAGAAGATACATCAAAAGTCTCCATGGCAGCGCTCGAGGGCTTCGACGTGGAGGCGTATGCCGCCAAATACAGCGGACGCAACCGAACCGAGCGGCTGTTGTTCCTCACTCAGGCATGCCCCGCGCTGGAGGCAGAGTCCAAGCGCGCTCTACTTCGAGAGCTCAAGGGGAGTCTGAATATGGGACTTTATGCGGAGTTGCTTGGCGAGAAGGTGAAAGACGAGGCCAATTTCATTGACAATGTGAAGCACAACGCGGCACAGCAGCACGAGCGACTGGAGCAAGAGCTCAATTCATATAAGTCCACGATGATCAAGGAAAGCATCCGGGTACGACTCTGATAAATTATGAGGGTCTCTAGTTGGATTTTTTTTTTACGATTTTATTTTTTGCTAGATGGGTCATAACGACTTGGGAGATTTTTACTACGAGTTGGGGGACTTGGCCTCTGCGCTGAAGAGTTTTGCTCAAGCACGAGATTATTGCACCACGGATAAACACATTATTGAAATGTGTCTAAACGTGAGCAAAGTGGCACTGCACATGCGCAACTTCGGCCATGTCACCAACTATTTGACAAAATTGGAACAAGTGAGCACTTCCCAGAGTGACCCCATGTGAGTGGAGAATGAAGGTCTCTTTGTGATAATTTTGAAAACTAATTTGCATTTGAATTTTGCAGCCTCAAGTCGAAGATCGCGTCGGCTTTTGGTCTTGTGGCTCTGCACGATAAGAATTACCACGGAGCGGCTTCCAAGTTTATTGAGTGCAGTGCGGAGATTGGCGCGAGTTATAATGAAGTACTGCATGCTGAGGATATCGCACTGTACGGCGGAATTTGCGCTCTGGCGTCGTTCAAGCGTGAAGAGTTGAAGGAGAAAGTGATCAACAACTCGTCGTTCAAGGCGTTCTTGGAGCTGCTTCCATGGCTGCGTGAACTCATCACGGACTTTTACTCGAGCAACTACGCGTCGTGCCTGCAGACACTGGAGCGAATGAAGGTAAGCTGGCCATTGTGCTAACTATGCTGTTGGTTCTGTTCTGACATGGCGTGATATTGCTGATAGCCCGAGCTGAAGCTGGACTTGTACCTGTGCGAGCATGTGGAGAACTTGTGCAAGGAGATTCGCAGTCGTGGGATTATCCAGTACTTCTTCCCGTACCTTTCCGTGGACCTGCATCAGATGGCTCGCACTTTCAACACCCCGATGGCGGATCTTGAGAAGGAGATCTGTGAGCTGATCGCTGCAGAGCGTCTCCACGCACGAATGGATTCGTATCAAAAGGTTCGAGATGAAACACGCAGCTCTTACGAAGTGTTGTTTGGTGACACTTACTGAACTTTGCTTAATTGTCGTGTAGGTGTTGTATGTTTACCACCCGAACCAGCGCGCTGCAACGTACGACCGTGCGTTTGAAGTGGGTCGCAAGTATGCAGCGGAGTCGCGCAACCTGCTGCTGCGTATGAGCTTGCTCAAGAACAACATCATTATCCGCGACTCGTAAACCAGTGCGAACTGTGGTAACGGTGCGGTGCTGACCGGGTCGGGTAATTCTCTAATCGTACCCGACTTTCTATTTGGTTTTGAATTGATCAAGTGGATGTAGTATGAGCCTCAAATAGCTAGTACGGTTTCTCTGGGGCTGTTCAAAGACATTTTTGGTTTGCAGGTTCTGCTAGATCGCTTGGCATTCGAAGCGTTTACCTGCCTCCTCATTATGAGTGACTCGGCTGATGATTCGACCGTGGTGCTAAGCGAGACAGCAGAGGGCACAACAACTGACATTCCTAGCATTACAGCAAGGACCATGACAGTAGGTGAGACGCTGGAGTACGTGCAACAAGGACTGGGTGTCCATACAAGTGCATCACGTTCCATCCTCCTGCACATTTGTCAGCGGTTGACTCGATTAGAAGCGCATTTGAGCGACGTCCGCGACGATGTTTACCAACTGCGTCGTGATACAAACCAAGGTTCAGAAACCGTCCGCGGCGAAGTCTCGGGCGTGTTTGCCAGTGTCAACAACATGTCATCCAAGCTGAAAGAATATGAAAATGCCATGGAAATGTTCCAGAATAATATGCGCGCGCACCAAAATCATCTAACGGTGCTCTCAACCAAAGTCAAGAAGGAAAAGGAGCATATCCAAGTCATTGATACGGTGCGTTCAAGTATTAATGACACATCATTTATCAATTTGACATAATATTCGTTCGTTTACCTAGAAAGTTGAAGATCATCGCCAAGACATGAATAATAAATTTGTCGAGTTGACGCAGAAGTTCCAGGATTTACCTCTTCAACTGGCTGCATTGCAGGCACCCCCTCCTAGTCATATACCCGAACAGTTTACATTTCAGACGAATGACGAGAAGATATCACTCCAAACACATATGCAGCGTCTTGATAGTCAGCGTTCCAAGGGGTATACGGACCTGCAGCCGTTTACTATTCCCGACGACATGAAGCTGAAAGTTGAGGCCAGAATTCGGCAGCAAGAGGCCAGCAAGCGTGAAGCAGACGCCCGAGCTGCCGCCGAATTATCGGATGCCTACAGACGCCTTCAGCTTGCATCAGCGAGCAGCAACAACCCGCGACTCAGTGAACTTCACGTGAGTCTGGATCTATGTCAACAAGAAATGAAGCGTGCGTTCCAGCTGATCCGGACATCGAACTTGCAACTTTATTCACTCTGTGAGTCCAAGGCAGAAAAAATGGACCTGACAGTGCTGCAGAACGAGGTTAAACAACTTCGCAGCCATCTCCGAGATATTGAAATTTCGCCATCAGGACATCGACCAAAGCAGCCCCAGTTACACATTGGCAACGAAAAAGTGGACGGACCATTTGACGACATAATGGTGGGGGATAAAGGTCCCTGCTTAAGCTCGAAAAAGGGATCGCAGCATCTTACAAGCTCCCAGATTCCTGTGCTACGAGTGTCACTCCTGGAGTTGTCAAGGAATTTGAATCTTCTCAAACATCGCTGGAAGAAACACAAGCGACTGAATCCAACTAGCGGCTCAAGCGTAAATCCAGTGGCACAGAAGCATCTTGAAAAGTTAGTAGTGTTGATCAATGACGCATACTCGTCCATGGCACAGGAGCCCGTAGATCTTGCTGCCGTTGAGGCCCATGTTGAAAAAGTGAGTCGTGTGCTCGGCTCGGACTTTTCCATGCAGATTTTAGCGTTGTTAGGTGGACGAAGTGAAGAGCCTGAGAGCTGTCGATTCCCAGTAGCGATTACTGCACGAGCTGCCGCTGGCGAAATGGCTTCTGCACTGTGTAGATACTCGGAAGCATTCACCGATATGTTTTTCCGCCGTGAAGCTGACAACAAGGTGGCTACGGCCGCGATGAATGAGTGGGCCTCTGAAAAGCGTACTCTGGAGAATGTGGGTCGTGAAGTTAGTGCACTCACTCGTAGTCAACATGTACTCGAGACAGCATTAGCTAAACTGGCTGCTGAGATGCAGAAGACAAGACATGTTGCTGCTGAGGTTGGTGAAGGTGGCAGTCTGAACTTGTGGACAACTTTGGGCGACGAGTTACAGCAGCTGAAGGGGAAAATCGATGCGATGAGTAAGCAGTTTATCACTGAGGCGGAGCTTGTGGAAATACTAAGAGACCTCAAGCGTGAGCAGCAGTGTGCCCCCTTAGGAGTGAGTGGGGTGGTAATCGGACAGCGCTATCAATCTGGTACTATGCCGTTGTCACTAGATTCGCCATCATCCGCATTGCTAAAGCGTCCGCCAAATGTGGAAAACGACTCATCTGCAACCAAAATGTTAGCAGCAATTACGCTTGAGCCACCTGAAGACCGACCAAGGTCTCAAACGAAGTTAGATCCCCTTCAAGGTGTAAAGATCAATGGTTCTTCACGACACCAAACAAGACCCAATTCAGGAGAGAATGGTGGAGCTGGTGCTGGAACTGCCACTAGTAGAATTCACGCACGAGCGCAGATGCTACGACCGAAGAGTAGGCACACTTAGATCATCTAGTAGGTACTATCAAACCTCTGTATCCTACAGCGTCATTGCGTTCTATTACAACTACACTGGGCGTGGGTCCAGCGATTCAATATTCAAAAAGCACAAGTTGTTTGTTCATCGAGTGATTCCGTTACGGGAGCGGCTCAGAAGCGTCACCCACACGCTTCAGATGCAGATACGCATCAGTGCCGTATCCTTCCATTGAGATCACTTGAAGATCTCCACCGAAGTAGCGTGCGAATAAACGACTGATCGGCAAGCCGTATCCCAGTCCGGCGAGCGGTGAGTCCCCGCCGAAATCATTGGGGGCCTCTAGCCTTTCGAACGCTTCTGAATCTGCCGTCGTGTAAAGATACGACCAAATGCGCGAGACGGACGAGCGCGGGATGCCTCCTCCTTCGTCCGAGATTTTAATCGACACATCTTCGTTGTCTTCTCCGTCTGCAATTACGATCTTTATAGGCGGCATGTCATTGTCAACTCCGTGGAATTCTACCACCGCACGCATAGAGTTCTTGATCACCTCGAAGAGCATGTGGTGCAAGTGACTTGGTACAAAAGGCATGGAGAAGTCAGTGTGGCCATGCAATTCAACCTCAGGGGCATCTCCATACTGCCTCAAACACATGTGCCGGGCAGTGTCAATAGCCGCAAGGGCAATCTCAGCGGGTGAAGTGCTCTCACAGATACAGCCAACCCATCCTTCCTCTTCCTCATGAAGAGCAATATGTTGGCTCATGAGCATTCGAATCCCGATTCTCGACATGTAAAATGCATCCAGAAAGGAGTGCAAATCTGACAAGTCTGCGAATTCTTGGGATCTCAAATATCTCTGCCCCAGTTCTTTCCTGGTGACTCCATGACCTTTTTCCGAAAAAGACTTGAATAGTTCCATCTTGAGTTCGTGGACGCCTTTGGCCATTGTATACAACGTGCCACTATGGCGGCCTTTAATGCTTTCGATTAAATCTCGAAAAGCCAATTCGTCTTGATATGTTTCCACTTTTGGGAAATTCAGCAGCTCCTGGGCCGAGTTGACGTACCATTCACGCACCTGCTTGACCGACGGCATGTCGCTTAGTCCATGCGGTAAATTCTCCAGATTCTTGATGCGGTGCGCGTATCGGACGGGCATTTCCCCGTGCAAGAAGCGCGCGGACTGGATGAGCTTCTGAGGGGAAATACCCGTTCCGAACTCCAGTAAATACTGGAGTGATACGCCCGTTTGTGGTAGCTGAGCCAACTCGTCGATCTTCGCCGTCATGTTGTCGTGGAATGCATTGCTGGCATTGAGACTTGAGGCCCCGCGGCGGATCGGAGCGCGGCCGGCGAGACGATGCATGGACTTCCGATGCGGTATAAGGATATGTTTCTGTGAGAATGGAGGCAAGTATCGAAGTGACGCATTCGACGTGAAGCGACTGGAGAGATCCGATTAAGTGCGAGGAAACGATGGCATACAAATATCAAGTCTAAAGAATTGATAATGCGGCACGCAGATGTTTGCGCGTTCTTGTGGCGAGGAGGAAACTTCAACTCTGAAGAGATCAGCTGTGGCCTCGGCTCAAGCACCCAATGGGCAATGTTGGACGCATTGGGTCCAATAGTCCTTTCAACTCGGTGTTCCAGTTACAGAGTGGAAGGCAATTCGTGCAGTTAGACGCTCATCATGGTTCGCTCCGTACGCGCGATGGTTGTTATTGGCAATAACTTATTGTTGTTAATTTGTCCCGGTGACGTTGATAGAATACTCCAATTCTAACCACCAACACTGGAAAGATGTTTGTTTGAATCTATGGCGTTCACGCTCATACATTGCTACTGTAGTTTCCAGTTTGGTATCGGCGCTTCAAATTGAGATGAACAGCGCCCGCCAACCTGAAAAGAAAGCAGCGTTGTTGTTTTTCCTCCGAGGCTCGTCGAATGGCAAAAACATTGTCAGCCTACAAACAAGCAGCGCTTCTGTAGCTCCTCAGAGGGTAAGGCCCAGATCACTCCAACAGTATTCCGTTCGAACGCAACCAAACACCGAGTTGAGTTGTGGTTGACTCAATGTGTCAACAGTGTTCACACATTGATGTAGACTAAGCACTGATCAGTCCGCGTCCTCGAAGGAAAGACCTCTTTCAAGAGCCAAAGTTGACGCGTTCCCTCTGTTGATACTGTATCCGCAGTTTTAATCAAATTCTAAACAGCATAATCATTTTTCAAACTTCATTTTAGATCTGTAGCAAGGTCAAAAAAAAAAAAAAATGGTGCGGTTCTGGGAGCTGACCCTGGTCGCGGCGGCGGTGCTGCTGTGTCAGGCCGGTGTGTTCTACTTCCAGGCGTGGCACTGCCAGCTACAATTACCTCAAATGTCTGATGACACTCTCACGGTCTTGGTTGTGACGGACGTGCATCTACTGGGCAAACGGCGACGCTCGTTCGTCGAGAGGCTGTGGGTGGATTGGCAAGTTCGCGCGGCTGCTAGAGCTGCGGTGGACGTGCACAGTCCCGAGGTAGCGCTCGTGCTGGGCGACCAGTTCGACGAGGGTAGTCGCTGGACTCCAGACGTGGACTGGGACGAATATGCCGGACGATTCTTCCGCGCCTTCGCGAGCTTCCTGCCTTTGAGAACGCTCTACCTGGTGGGCAACCACGACACGTCATTCGGTCGGGACATGCGGCTCCAGGACTTAAAGCGCTATGAGGTCACGTTCGGGGCAGCGAACCGCATCGATGAGATCCAGGGACACACGTTTGTGAGTCTCAACACGATGGCGCTGGACTCGGACGTGGCCAGTCGTGAGGTGAAGACGGAGGCCAGGAGCTTCCTGGAAAGCGTCAACTTTTACGACCTGCGGGCACGGACAACCGGCAGCGTCATTCTACTCACACACCTGCCGCTCTTTCGCGTGGACGACCTCCAGTGCGGGGAAGAGCGGCTTCGCGAGTCGGGCCACGTCACGTATGAGGCCCCCCGCTTCAAGTACGAGACGCACCACCACGTTCTCTCTCGTGAGCTGTCCGCGGAGTTGTTGGCTAAAGTGCAGCCTGATCTAGTGCTGTCAGGCCACACACACGCGTTGTGCGCGTACAAACACTCCAACGCTGTGGCTATGGAGTACACTGTACCTGCATTCTCGTGGGGTCAGCGTCCCGATCCGAGCTACGCGGTGCTGCGGCTGCCGCACGCTAATAAACCAGAAATCACGGCTTGTCACTTGCCTCAGGAGCCGTTCGTCTTCGCCACGTACGCTGTGATTGCTGCCGTCATCGTGTTAGCCCACATTGCCAGGCTGGTGTACAATCTGAGAGCACCTAAGGTGAAAAAGACTAAGGGCGCGTAAATATGAGAACTAGAAGTGAGCAGGCCGAAGCATAGACAAGATGCTGGACTCTGTCGGTGACACAAATCCAGACAAAGTTAAAGAATTTCTTCTTGCCAAGAAGTTACGAACTCAGAGAGTCCAGACTAGATCAAACATTTATTTAGGGTAGACTTCATTTACCCTTAGACGCAAAGTACACATACTGCACCTAAGACGGATTAATCCGTACGTGCATGGTGATATGACCCCCTTCCGATGATCGAGGAATCCACATCAACAACGAACCGCCACCCTTACCGGGCAAACCAAACAAACCAGGACGCCAGCGATCTAAGTACATCGTCTTGTCCTCCAGCTCCGGGAACGTAGCGTCCCATGTAGTGACATCACCTGCACCGACATCGACTTTTGCATATTGGTCACCACCTGAATGGACTACAACCGTCACATCCTTGGTATCGACGCTCTCGAAAATGAGGTGAACAACACCATCGCCTGCGTGGGTGTAGGACCCGTAGCTTCCAACAAACGCTTCGTCCATCGCTTTTAGACCCAACGCATCGTAAAGTGTTCCATCGTCGATTTCACCCACATACGCTGTGGGTCCACAAATGGGCTGCACGAACTGTGACGCCATGTACGCAATACCTGTCGGGTCGAGCGCTGAGAGCATAACTAGACCCATGTTAGATACTTCCAGCATGTAATCTTTCTTTGCAACGCCCTTGCCGCCGTCTGTCTTGCCAGTTTCGATGAGTTGATCAACGATAACCCCGAACGTTTTTCGCAGCAGGTCACGCGTCTCGTACGCTGCTGTGATAGTCTTGGAAGCCAATAGTTCCCCCATGCAGTTGTTCGTGACAACCGGGATATCGTTCAGCACAATCGCCGATTTGTACACCTTCACTCGAATGTCGTTAACCTCAGTACTCACACTGCGGTACTTGAGTACAGCGCGAGTGACACGATCTGTAAGACGCTTTAGTTGCCAGCCACAACTCGAGTTTTTAGCCACCAACTCGTCGAGTTCATCCACTGTTGTCTTTGAGTTGTTGAGGAGACCATTACCCGAGAGCAAACTCATGACATTGGCTCCCGTCGAAATGATCTCGTCACCATTGGTGATGGCTTGTTTTACGATACCTTCGACAATCTGAAGCACATAATCAGCGAACTTGGCGTCTTTGGGGACGGGGATGTTGAGGCACGTGCAAATAGCAACCGGGATATCGTATAATACGACGTCAGCTTGGTAAGCAATCGCAAGCATTTCTGCAGTATCACCGACGGGAGCTGACGTTTGACGGTAGCGGAGATAGTAGATCAGCCCTCTGATCGCTTCTACAGTATTCCGAACGCACTTAACAGCCCACTTGGCGATTTTGAAAGCAGCTCGAATCGAACCGAATACATTAGCAGTAGCAACATTGAGTGCCACCTGGGCGACTGCACCGATTTTGGAGAGAACGGCGAGAACACAATCGTCATTTTGAGGAATGCATTCCAAGCCACACGGAATCGGGTATGACAATGGACACCGCGCGGCGCAGTCGTCACCATCCTTGCTGTAGCCCAATGGACAAATATTGTTGCTATCAAAGTCCATCGATTTTCGATAGCAAGCAGTATCCTTGGATTTACCAATTGTGGGGCCCACCCAGTTGCGGATCGTAGTGCCGTACGTGTTGTTACCCACACCTGATGGATCATTAAGCGCAATATCTTTTGCTGTCTTTCTCGTCCAGATCGCACCAATTTGGTCCACTTCATCATCAGCACGACCGTAAAACCCACCCAATACAAAACCTTCAGGAGCTGTCGCTGTACCGGAGTTGCCGGTCTTAGTTCCACCCTCGATAGTTTGACCAGTGGTGGTAGTGAAGCTAATGTAGAAGACTCGTGTGTGTTTGTCCTTTTTGTCCCAATGAGCCTCCATAGAAGTGATGTGCTCATCAGCAGCAAGCGTAATCGTCTTCTCGGTGCCCCCATTGCCCCCATGATTCATAATTTGCTCGGCTGGTGAAGTTATTTGCAACGTCACAGCATCTACACGTTTGTTTCACCGGATCGTGATAGCGCTAATAGTTTGTCCGAACTTGATATTGTTGATATCCGAGAACGCGTTACCATGTGGACCGCCAAAGAGCTCACCAAGTGCAATGTCCTCGTCAGCCGATACCTTAGCGGTACTGGTTGTTTCGTTAACCGCTGCAATACTCGACCACACTGCGCCAATAAGATCAACTTCATCACCATACCGACCAAAGAATCCGGCTAATTGGTAACCTTTTGGTGCAGTTAGTGATCCCTTCTCCTTGGTTTGTGATCCGCCAGATACCTTGTTGCCTTTGCTGGTGCCCAGACTGAGGTAGAATATGCGCGTGTGGCCGCTCTTTTGACTCCAGTGAACTTCCATCGCGGTAATGTACTCTCCAGGCTCCAGAGCAAGCGTATTTTCCTTACCACCAGTACCACCATGGGTGAACGTCATCTCCTTAGGTGCTGCGACTTGTACCGTAAGGCCGTCAAGACGCTCACCTGCTCGAATAGTGACAGAGCTGATGGTCATTCCAGACGTGCAAGCCAGTTGATCGGAGAACTGCTTTCCATGGGGTCCACCAAAAGAATCACTCAGCTGAACAGGCCGCTTATTCGCCTTCGTCTTTATCTCCGACAAACTGCCAGCAATGTCCTCTGGAGCGACAGTGCCTGGCGAGTCCTCATCCTTAACAGGAGCTGGTGCAGGTGTCGGAGCTGGCGTAACGAGATCGATATATGCCCAAACAGCACCCAGAGTATCGATCTCCTTGCCAGATTTACCGAAGAAACCCGCTAACTGGAAACCTTCAGGTGCAGTCACTGTGCTCTTGTCGTCTGTCATTGATCCTCCAGACAGCGAGTTACCCGCACTCGTCAGGAAATTCACGTAAAAAATACGAGTGTGGTCGTCCTTCTTACCCCAATGAACCTCCATCGAGTTGATGTACTCTCCTGGACCAAGCTTCAGCACCTTACGGTCACCACCGGTTCCTCCGTGAGTGAACGTGAGCGTCTTGGGAGCTGAGATTTCCAAACTGATACCATCTAGGCGTTCACCAGCGTAGATGGAGATTTGACTAACAGTCTGTCCAGAGTTAACAAAGTTCTTGTCCGAGAAGTCTGTACCGTGAGGTCCACCAAAGCTTTTGCTCAACACAACAGAGTCCTTGACACTCATTGTTGGAGCAGGAGGCGTCTCCTGTTTTGCTGGCGAGGCTGCCGATCCTGCCGCAGACGCGACGTCTCCCGAGCCAGCTTTAGGCGCAGCGGCCGAGCCTTCTGTTGACGCTGCAGTTGAGGACTCTACTTTCTTCTGAATTGGGGTGTCGACAGCACCTGAAGAATCGGCTGAAGCGAGAGCAGAGTCTTTTGTCGAGCCGACTTCCGAGCTATCGGTGGATGTTGCTCCTGAGGCTTCTGGTATCTTTTGAGTAGGGGTGCCAGCAGAACCAGAAGCATCAGCTGAAGCTATTGCGGAGTCTTCGGTTGACTCGACTGCAGAGCCTTCACTTGATGCTATCGCTGCCTTCTTCTTAATGGGGGCTTCAGCAGAGCCAGAGGCGTCACCAGAAGCTAGTGCGGAGCTTTCCGTGGACTCGACTGTAGAGCCTTCATTCGATGCCGTTGCAGCTGTCTTCTTCGCTTTCTTCTTAATCGGGGTGTCAGTAGAGCCTGAAGCATTGGCTGAGGCTAACGCAGCGTCTTCTGTCGACCCTGCCGATGCTTCGCTGGACGCTACTGCTGCCTTCTTCGTTTTCTTTTTCTTAATGGAGACTTCAGCAGAACCAGAACCAGAAGCAGCAGCAGAAGCTACTGCCGAGTCTCCGCTGGACTCAGCTGCAGAGCCTTCGCTCGACTTTACTGTCGCCTTTTTCTTTTTCTTAACCGGAGTTTCCGTAGAGCCTGAAGCACCGTCCGACGCAAGTGCAGAATCTTCAGTAGATACAGCGTTCTGCTTCGTGGGGGCTTCAGCGGGGCCTGACGATTCGGTTGAAGCTAGT